ATTTGGAGTATCACGGGTGGACCTGTATATTTTCGTTTTAAAGGGATGTTGCTGTTGCATGTGTTGTTATTTATCTTGCATTTTTCTGTTAAAAGATGACATTAGTATGGATCTTAATGCGAATGTAGGATATCATCACAATATTAAGGGTCGTCCTGCTGCCTTTCACTTGCACCAGTTTATCCCTGCCACCACCAAACCTGTCGTACATATATTTAAATATTTTAATATATTTCATATATATTCCAAATATTGTTTCCAAATAATTATTATTAAAGTATTTGATTCTCACAGAGACATTTGACATCGAATAAGTATTTTTGTACAGCTGCATATGCAATGGATATTGTTCCTTTATGTTGATATTCCCGGATACATTATAACTTTGGTAGGTTGTAATAATGATATTTGCATTTTGTTTTCATTCATTCGCTGCAGCTTTGAACAGAATCATTCTTGTTCCTTTCCGTTTGGTTGGGAAGTTTTTCGATGCGCGATAGACGTTGTTTTCGCATGTATTTTCTTTTGTAAGCGTGTATATGTTACAGTCAATGTGTAAAATATGATTCACTCAGGCAATTTATTAAATATCTAAATATTTCAATCATTTTACAAATTGACTGAATAATCTGTCCATTTATTAAACCGACTGACTAAAAATGATAAAGATGATCAGAAGAGCTTAAACACATCACAACTATTAATTATGCTAAGAAAAGAAGCCAAACAATACAGAACTGTACTTGGTGATGATATTTAACATATACAAATATTTGGAATTCGTTATCATATTAATAAAGATGGACATATTTTTCAGTTAATTTGTAAAATAACTGAATATTTAGGCATTTAATAAATTTCCTTAGTGAAATCTGTTTACATTTTGAGTGTAAACATATACACACGGTAAAATAAGCAATGTTCAGATGAAATATTTACTTTGTGTTGCAAGTCAAAATATTGTACACGAAGATCGCACAATTACCAAGCAAGTGACTTATCAAAACTTCATCACCATTTCCAAAACTGTATTTCATTTTCGTTGATCAATGTGACCATACGTCCTACTATCAATAAAAATGCGCTTACGAATGGCGAGCACAGGTCGCGAACAAGTCTAGATTTCTGCTATATCATCCGGGTACTCACTGGGAAAATACAGTAATGCACAGGCAACAACTACTCCCGCGGAATTGATTTAGATCAGTGCTCCTTTGTACGTTGAAATACTATAAATTGTGAATGCCAAAATGATGTATCAAGGATCAAGTAGAAGATACATTGACAGTAGCGCTGGGAGTTTATTCAACAGACCCGTGAAAATAATATTGCTGTATCTTATTATTTATTTTAGATGACGCAGTCAAAGCTCACTGTTTACTTCTCCTGGCGGCCATTATGGAACGGCCAGCTAAAACACAACCCCGCGCTTACGTCTACAGGTCTCTTCCTGTAGTACGGTAATTAGTATTCTCTCCCTCAAGTGTATCCTCAATGATATAACCCACCCTCATTAATTACATGCTGCTCTTTTCCAGCCTCACGGCTATGGAGCTGAGATAAAGAGTCCAAGTCATCATAAAGTAATTAGGGTCCAATAAAAACAATTCGCCGCAAAACCTCATACATATTATCACTGAAAGTCGTACTACAGACGGTTAATGTCAAATCACAATAAAAGCATTTCAATGGCAATAACATGTTCCAGGACCATGTATTCTCTTAACACCATCGGATTTAGAAGCAATGGTCGTATAAAACAAGACAGATCTATTTAATCACAACAGTATTCAGGTTATTCCCACAAAATCACATAAAGAAAGGAGACATTAGCAAATACATGTGTATTATCATTTTTCGTCAGGATAACAAAATTTTCTCTCCTTGTTACCACCTCCAGGTTCAGCTTAACACGGGTCCTCCTTTGGTCAAAAGTTTGTTCCCCCTCTAATGAGTGTGTCACGCGTTGCACACGAGTGGCGAACGGGGTGCACACCCGTGTGCAACGCGTTGCACACGGGTATCACACGCGTGGCGGACGGGTTCCACACGAGTGACCAACCCGATGCACACTGGTTGCGTAACGCGTTGCCCATGCGTGTAAGGGGAATGAACTTCTAGGCAGTAGTGTAAGACTAAACAATAAAAATATTTGCCTTGCACGTGAACAGCCAATGGATAGATCCCGACCCATTCTACCATCCGTCTAGGTGAAGTAAGGGGCAAAGTAGAGAGTTTGGCAAAGGAACACGGATCCTGGAACAAGTGCGCTCAACTACCACAGTCTCTTCCTCCACCGACACAGGGGCACAACAGAGTTGGAATATCAACTTATTGATGCAAATAATAAATTATGACGGCATGCATTGTTCATGCAGTATGGGATTTGACACGCATTTACTGCACATCTGAATATTTGATGAGTGATGACACAATGACACGTGACAGTGGACAAAGCACCAGATATTACAAACATGGCAATTTGGAGTATCACGGGTGGACCTGTATATTTTCGTTTTAAAGGGATGTTGCTGTTGCATGTGTTGTTATTTATCTTGCATTTTTCTGTTAAAAGATGACATTAGTATGGATCTTAATGCGAATGTAGGATATCATCACAATATTAAGGGTCGTCCTGTTGCCTTTCACTTGCACCAGTTTATCGCTGCCACCACCAAACCTGTCGACCTTCGTGTTCCGTTGGTACCTACGGTTGTTTCACAGTAAAGTTGGTACATCCTAGCTTCGTCATCAGATTGATGCTTGACTCGTTGCTGTTCAAGCGGTTGTCCTCACAGGACGTACTTGCTTGAACCATCAAAATGACTACAAACAGACCGTCTTGCTCGAGACCTTCCCCACGAATGATTGTCCGCACAACCTGGTCAGATATCTTTCACAATACCGAAATTGCAACTGTCGTGTCGGATGCTTTGCCTTTGCCACTGTAGAAAGCAGTCCTCGGCAGCCACAACGGGGTTGGCCTGACTTGGTTTCGTCTAATGATGTACCAGGGTGTAGAGATTATAGTCTGGAGCGCATGGTGAACCCAGGTTTCAGCTGACTGCAAGTCGCATGTTTTCGATCGTTCTGCATTGTAATTCTGTTGTGCTTCAGTTAGTGGTGGCATGACTTCGCTGTTGAACAATTGCATACTGAGGACAAATAATCCGTAATTCCCCGTTGTTTGTGTGATGTGTCCTGTATGATATATACCTAGTAATTATCCATCGTGTTTCAGGTTAATGCCATCTGCGTCATAGTTTCAATGTTGAGGTTAACAGTAGAGGTTGTAATTGGTGTCTCTCAGTAATGAGGATAGTCGATAATAGTTTATATATGTCAAGGGACAAGTTGACATTTTTCCGACAGTCATAGAGATGGCTTCATTTTGTTTAGCATTCATCCAGCGTGCATCACCGTTTGAAGTACAAACATGAAAAGGGCTCGTTGACTGATTTCTTTATTCGGTTTTCGGTCAATGCTACACTCCTAAATAGTCAAGCAGCCTGCAAATGAATGAGGCTAGACCAGACTCGACAGTGATTGATATTATGAGCAATGAGTCGCAAATAAACAAGATCACGAAGCTTGAGCCACCGATCCAGTAAGTCGCCTCTCATGACAAGCATACGTTGTTGAATAGCATTTTTAAAAAAGACTGACAAATATGAAATAAGTAACTAAGGGAAGTGTAATCATTGGATTTTTATAGCAACGTGTGAGTGTGTGTGCGTGCATGCGCGCATGCGTGTGTGCGTGCGTGCGTGCGTGCATACGCGTATGCGTACGTGCATGCGCGCGTGTGTGTGTGTTTGTTTGTCTGTGTGTGTGTGCTTGTACTACCCGGACTAATGCCATTTTTATGGTGCTAGCCCACTGAGTTATCATGCCGGACCGTCCAGCACTTCATTCCGAGCGACAGGCAGAGTAAAAACGAGTATCGTTCAATGCCTTTTAACGAACCCACGACCTTTCACTCTCCGGGCAGATGCTCTATCCACTACACCACGTCAATGGTCAATAAGTTACTAAATCTATGTAATACTACCATTTGTATGACTATGTATGTAGTATTCTTTTCCAATTATTTCACAAAAGATCAACTTTCAGTAGACAAAATTATAATGAAACCTCATAATGGTTTCACGCATCCATATTCAGTGTCAGAATATTTTAGTCAATTGAGAAAACGGTTTAGCAGTTTGCATGACACGTAAAAAATGCCCGATATATACTATGACACTTAGACCTTGAGCATCTATGCCATTCATCTTTAGCAAATTTGGGCTATATATGCTGGATGTGAAAAGAAAACTATTTTGTGACATCGGCAATGGCACCGAAGTTGCCATTCTAATTCACTAATAGTTTAATTTTAATTTTTAATTTTTTATGTCTGTAACAATGAAAGACACAAAAACACATCGACTTTCACACGCAACTTTATATATCGAATTTGAGAGAATATAAGTCCATGGCCATCAACTGGATTCAGACTCGTTGAACACACTCAAATGCTATCAATGTTGGAGAAAGGACATAAAGTTGCAGTTTGCTTAGACAAGCTATGTCTGATGATGAGATGTTTACGGCCGCCAGCACAATCTGCTCAACCTGATGTCAAGGGTCATCTTCGACCCAGCATTCGGAGAAATCCATATGGCGTCATACCACCATTTCTTTGATTGATTCAAGTCACAAATTTACAACAACAATCACATTATGCTCACTCGTCGTAACATATATATACTTGTAAACCCAATGTCTGTTAACCTTACTTAAAATGTTTTTTAAAGTCATCTGTCATGTTGTACGAACTATATACAGAGGGGTCATTGGGAGGTGTGTTGCCGTGAATTCAGGCAATATCACTACTCCATCCCTGCCTGCAGAAATGTGCAGGTACAGAATATACCGAGTGTACCGACGGCATACGGGGCAAAAAGGCCATGACAAAGTTGACTGTGTATTTGTTCTAAAACCCTTAAAGTACTCACTGTGTACAAATAGAGCGTGTAGTCTTGTAACACTGGTGTAGAGGGCTACACAAACGAGAACACGGAGGACCAACATCTTCACTTGATGGCTTGTTGTGTTGTGGTAACAGAGGCTCAGTCTAGGATAACTCTTAACGTTAATTTCACACGCTAGTAAATATGTATGTGAATAATATAACATTCTTTTCTTATTACTCTTCAGTTACGCCAGTCACTATCAATGTATAGTCAAGCATGTCCTGTCCTGATCTATAACATTGATTTTGCTCAAGAAGTACAGGATTGGAAGACAACAGTCAAAGCATAATTGAGGATATGAAATAAAGGAAGCCAAGCTCAGCATAGGTTCCCAGGAACAGTTTGTCACAAGTAGTGACTGAATAAATCACCGGGCCTGGATCGGTGACTTGGATGATAGCTGCACCCGATGATGTGTGACGTTGGTCATAACATAAAATACTGGGTTGTCTGGTCCAGGTTCGATGTTTTAAAGGCCACCGTCATGTAGTTGGAATATTGCTGAATACAGAGTTTAACAACAAATACAACCCAACATGCAGACTGTATATTTCGCGGTTGAATATGTGTTGTTACGAAATGTAGCTCTCAGTGTTGAGCAGTGATAATTTCCACCAGTGAGCATCTTGCTGAGATTGGCTTGTGTGACGTCATCTCGCGTGGTCACACTGCACCCTCTTCTTACACAGATTGTTCCTATTGCCATTATTTCATCTTATGGATTTATTTTAGTTAGGGATTGGCCGTATTAACTTCTGGGCTACAGGGGCGTTCTGCAAACAAACTTTTTTTCACTGGATGTTTTGAAAATATATGCCTTTGGGATCCTTAAAAATGTCCTTGCTACTCCTTTCAATGAATATTTACCAGCTAACTTCTTTGATAGGCATTTAGAAGTTGGAGTATTAAGTTAGGATAAGATTTATGGATGAACAACTTCTTAATTACAATTAAGAGCGACGTTTTGGTGGAGGTTCTAAGACTACACTTGCCTGATAACGGTGTCAGAACCTGCACTGAATATGATAGTTGTTTATCCATAAATCTTATCTTTACTTAGTTACTAGCTATTTTGACATAAATTCCCAACTTTAGATCTTGCGATTTAGACATGCAAATGCAAGTACTTCTTAAGCCCACCTACTGTGTATGCTGATAATCTGAAACTGAAAACAAAATAAACAGTTGTCATTTGGTCACAATGTCTCTTTTAACCATTTAAGCTGCTGCCATGAAGTCTTAAGTAAGCGATTTTGCCCTTTGTTGTGGCTGTGGGTTTGTAATTGAAATTCAATGTCTATCAAAAGTCGAAATATCACACCAAAAAATGATGTTGTTGGAGGCGAATGTGTATCAATGTGTAACAAACTTCAGATAATGTGCTTTTGAAGAAAAAGGAGATACTCATCAGCTTATTTTATACTTCCCTTAAGGCATAACAGATGTATCTATGTGATACCTACATATACATATTTGTATTTACAGAGGAATCCACGGGTGTTGACGTCGTTGATAGGGCCAGTGTTAGTAGATCCAAAATGATTAAGATTACGGAATAACAACTCCATTTTCATAGCAGAAGCAAATGTACTTGTAACTAGCCAACATGACATCATCTTTTGTTTCCTAACCAGTCATGTTGGAATCATTTGTAACCCGATGGATGATAATGCTTCAACAAAAGCAGTACTCAACAAGTAGGTGACGCCACTTCTTGTCCCAAGTGACATCAATCCTGTAATAAGATGCTTCATCAAAGGTCTTAAGCGAAAAAGGTGGGTAGTAATAAACTTCATCACATTAAATCAACTCTGTGTTGTTCCTACTAGGGTTTCAGTCAACATTTGTAGAGGTCATTTTACGACGTATTTATCATACTACGTACACACATCTTTATTTATTGAAAGGAGAGGATCCTCCATTGTGTGTCTTGTGTTCAGAGAAGCAGTCAAGCATATGTAGAACATTGAGCAATGCTCATTCAAATTCTTTGAAGGATCATCTTACTAATGTCGAGAGATATAGCATTATTAGATACATTTTGAATAATTTCATACGTGTATAGCATGACTCTCTCCCCAACCCGGATGATCTATGATGATTCAACGTGTAGTAGTATACGAGTAGTTTCAAAGTATAATCTCCTTGCCAGTGGCACATACGTCCATCCTTGACCATCGTATGTGATACCAACTTGTGTTTAAGAATTTGTTTTGTGCTTGGCAAGCATAAAGTACAGACAACCGGTGACATAAATCTTGCTTTAATTACCCATGATCCCCAGTTAGGAATTATGACCTAATACTTCCCGCCGTCACTTTAAAAAATAACTCAAACGCTCACTAGACCAGTGAATCCGAGGCACATGATCCATATCGAGATTTTTCAATAACATTGCAGGACAAGAAAGTCCTTAAAATTCCAATATTGTGTTGCCCGTTTCGCAAGCTCTTTGTCACAGTCCTGAATATGCAAACAACTCCGATGTATTAGGCCTACAAGTGTTTTGTTTACTTACCGCGAAGAGTTATTTGCAATTCACATTATCTTCATATATCAATTTTTCAACCAAGACGAGATTCTTGCAACAGTTCCGATCAAGCTTGTTATTGTGTATCAGTGTCAGTGTCAATTCCATATCCATGAATATCACAATGAATAATGTTTCCTTCACTCCACTGTTCCATTCCTATTTTTTTCCTCTCTCTGCATTTGTGTTTGAGTACGAAATGTGTGTCTCACACGCGCTGCCACTATGCGCTTTAGCCCAACAGCTGAACATTGAAGTCTTGACAGCGGGACATATTGGTTGTCTACTGCCTGACAACGGGACAGTATTGTTGTTATCAGACTGGCAGCCGGAATGTATGGTTCATAACAACCTGCCTTCAGCGCATTATAGTTGTCAACCTGACATTTATGTTGTGAATAGCCTCACACCAGTACATAATGGTTAACACTGTTGCAGCTGGCCATTACAGCTCGAACAGCCTGACAGTTAGGCAGTATCGTTGTCAACAGGACCAGAATAATTTGGTCCAGGTTAACCCATGGCATTTTGTCATAAGAAACAGCAAATAAAATGCTTTCATAGTGTTATAGAAAAACAGTTTATTCACATCAGCAGGTGTAGATACAAATCATATACAAAACATATACAGAGACTCATAGAGTGTGTCATTAGGATTCCATGTGAGATACAATGGAATATATCATTAACATTCACGTTCTTGTTCAAATTCAACATTCAAAGTTGTCCACTTCTTGCAAAAACACAATGTTGGTCATTCTTCCTACCAAAAAACATTTCTGTAGTTTTTAGAATTTTTGTATGAAGGATAGAAATTAGGAATATCCCTTTGATACAGATAGTGAAAATATATTTAACAAGCCATGATATGATTCACTTGTTTAAAATTCCGCTTCATTGCAAGTGATTCTCTCTTGGTATATCTAGTTTGATGGAAAAATCGATATTGAAAATCACAGTGTTTAGTATCCTTGGTGCATTGTCAGATCAGGAGAAAAGTTGCTTTAATGTGTCAGTAGTAAATGCGTGTTGCCATACATTAGGTAATATGTATTTCAGCAAACTTAACATGAACGTTTCTTGCACCTTTAGTAGATTTCAGCCATTTCACAACTTTAGACATCGAACCCAACAAATATCAATATTCCTATTACTTCCAATAGCCTCTCGCCTATCCGTTGCTTTTGAATACAAAGCGATAACGGTAAAAAACAGTTCTTTTAATGTGATAACTGCTCAACTACTCATATGGACAAAATAAAAAAATACATTCATTTTAGTGCTCAAAGTGTTTCAATATATAGAATATAATTATTATTCTACACTATAAGTGATCGAACATTTTATTTATTGGGAGGAGGGGGGGGGGGGGGGGGGGGGGGATGGGGAGGAAGGGTGCCTTGTCTTTCGTGTCAAGATCAGACATTGTTTTTCAGCTTTTATGTGAAACACCTCGCATCAATTACATTTTTTCCAACAGTCTAAGGCATAGTTATTGTTTTTCAAGAATTTTCGTCGACAATTTCATAAAACATTTTGATAAAATCCCAGCATCATGAAATAAATGAAATAATGTTCATGTTACCGACGACCTAACTTGGTGAAAAATGTCTTACTTTGTGTGGGGTGCACGCATGGTCCAGTCGTCTAAGGCGCCGTGATTCGCTGTGCAGAGTTGTGTCCCTTGGACACGCCAGAAACCTATGATTGTGGGTTCGAACCCCGGTTCGCCCCGATTATGTTTCTTGGTTTGTCAGTAAGTGGTAAACGTCTAAGACCTGCATCGCTTGGGGCTTTCCTCCCACATTAAGCTGACACGCTGTGATATAACTTGAATAGTGTTAAAAGTGGCGTTAAACCCAACTCACTCACTCACTCACTTTTACTTTGTTCATTGGTTGGTAAACGCCAACTAGTAAAAGTGCGACAAACTGGTCGATCGGACAACATTTATTATTAATATATGCCAGGAGGTACTCAGCATATATATTTGAGCGCATAGTCAGTCATCAAATCAATTGTTTGTGAAAGTGGGTACATGTATGTCATACTGTATACCAGACAGGGAGGTAATATTAAACAATTCCAACTCTTTTCCCTGCCTACTTAACATTGAGGAAATACATATGGTGGACTTTACGTTTTTGTCATATTTCGACCTACCGATCTGAATGTTTGGTGCAAAGAGTCATTATCATCATTGGGTGAGGCGAAAATTGATGACTAACTTTCAATCCGGGTTAGCGTATGGTCTGATTGCATAAGGTGACGTTGAATGCAATGGGTGACCTCAAATGCCCAATGGTACAATGTGACGTCATTTCGCGTCAACTCATCAATCAGCATTGCAAAACCGTCATTGTAGAATGAAACGAAATTAACAAGTCACCGAGTTAATCCAATTAATCACAAACGTTTATGAGAACCATTCGACCACAGTCCCATATGACACCATGGCAAACATGATATTTGGTTGAAACCATATCAATTTTTGGAGAAATACTAGACAACTTACAAAATGATAATCTTAAAGTGAAGCTTGTTTTAGGGTCAACGAGAGTATATTTATATTTTAAACATAGTTGTCATAAAGTGTGAGAGAAGCTTGCTATATTTTAGTTGAATGTTTACATGCAGAAGCTAGTGTAAGTTGTCCAAAAGTTATCTTCAGATGAAGACAACACTTTGTCAGAAAGCAGGCAGTTCTCATTGGTCGGCGACACTGCACTGTAGCTGAAGTCGATGCATGAATTATATCGGTGACAAATGATGCCACAGTCTCCGGCTGTCATGGCTGACGTGGTTAGGAACGGCTGAGACATCTTCTTGTTCTTCAACGGTTTGTAGTAGGAACCTATAAAATATAGTTACTTTTTAGAGTCAGGAAGGCAAATCAGTCATTTATGTTATGATGAACGTCCCACGACATCGGGTATGATGACATGCAATCAGAAAAGTCTTCGCGACTGACAACCCGATCAGTTAAGTCGCCTCTTACGACCAGTTGTTATAGAATTGGGCCTGTCTTAAACCAGATACAAAGCTAAAACATTTTAACTCACTCACTCTAACCGTGCTCAAACATATAGGGGATTATGACTTTGTACCGATTTGACTTTTGTGAAGCCAACGGTGAATCAATGGTTTACTCACGATATGGCTTCTTAGCCCCCTCCCCTTGAACATCCACATGTCCGATAACGAGGTGTACATTGGTGGTAGATGGCCTTGTGACACGGACAAAGCGGACAGGGAATGTAGCATTGCAGGTAAAGGTGAACTCTTCCCCAGCAGTGACAGTGCTGGACACATTCCCACACCACTCCGACTGGACATCAGAGCAGAGACTGACATCTTTGTCCATCACCTCCACGAAGGCATTTCTCATGTAAACATCTGCAAACAAAGGAATATCCCAGTGCACGTGTCAAACATAAGATCCCCTGTTGCTGATCTGCTGATGCAAAACTAGTGTTGTGATGCACTATTCCCATTTAACAACACTGTATGGAAAGTGTTCAGATAACCTGAGAGTGTGTAAATCTTGAAAAATATCACTAGTGACATCCTACACAATTGATTTTGATTATTGAATTGCGCTGAAACTGATATAAAATAATTCGTGGGATATATGGTGTGCAACCTATTTTATATATGTTTCTACATTATCACTCAATGAAACAAAAGTGACGTGTTCTGTATGAACTTACTCCATCTCCCGTAGGTGGCTGCTGTGAGGGTGATGCTGCTGATGGTGAAGTAGCCCCTCAGGTCGACCTCCCACCAGGACGGGCTGGCAAATTTTGTTAATGATCCAGATGACACATATGATTTATTTAAAGCCCGACTATCATCATAGATCGAAGAGGTACTACTCTGTTTTGCATATTTTCCATTTGAAATATGTTCACCTGCAAGGAAAATATGTAGAGACTAATCATCTTTGTTTTAAAGAGTGCAGGTGTGGTGGGAAAAGAAATTCAGTGTTTAAGGGGACGTGAACCCCACTTTTTTCAGCTTAAATGCCAACAATATGTGAAACAGATACCTTACGCACATATTACTTCTTGCTATATTACAGGTAAGGTGAAAACAAGAAACTTGCTGATTCCTCGAACTACGTTCATAACAAAGGCATATCCTATCTTGGTGGAATCACATTACTTTCGGTTTGGACTATAGACACATACCAAATGCAGTACATATTTAGCATAAATTTTCTGTCTCTCTAATTACCTCCATAAATATATAAGGTAAACCAAGAGAATAACCAGATTTGATTATCCTCTGAAAGAGATTTCTTTTTGGCGCAAAGGGTAATATAGCCACGAAGATTATATGAATGGACTACTGAGAACCACTGACGCCAGGTGTTGGCGAAAAGGGTAAGCATGTCCTGTCCTACCCGTAGCACCCGCCATTCATACAGTAGGCATAAAAGGTAAGTATTTATTGCCTGACGCCGCCCGGCAGTAGTCCTGCCATCCGACGGCAGCATGAAGAAGAGCGATCCAGAAAGCAGCATGGATATCAGGCCAATCTTGACCCTCAAGGTCAGCTAATCATATCCTAGAATGTTCTAGTTGCACACCTCAGTGGTGTATTTGACATATGACATGTATTTGGATAGTTGAGTTTTCCATAACTCTTCAAATGAATCGGAAATGTCACGAAATGCGAGTCATGTTTAGAGTCAAGAGAGGTCCTCCAAATATTGATCAAGAACCCTCACTGGATATCAGTGTACAAATTATCATCAAGTTCATGAAAATAATATCCAAGGAATCGTGTACACAGGATAATTCACTCTGAGTGACCTGGACCTTACGCTGCTTCCCATCAGACTCCCAATGGGTGTATCTACAAGTATACTTGTATTAAGTCTGTAACATCTATTATAGAAGTGAAGATTTGTGTTTGACTCCAATGCAACTGTCTGTATAGTTTCCCAACTCAGTGACAAACTCAAAGAGTTCAATACATTTCTGCAAAATTCTCTAAGAGAATATAGACAGCTTAAACGTATTCTTGGCAAGCTCAGCTTGGATTGGCATGTTCGGTGAGCTGAACTTGAATCGGTTACATAACTCGTCTAGCTGAGGGTCAGTCTACACAGTCACACATGCTGGACTAAGTAAACAGGTTAATTACCTTGTTGGCTCAAGCAGAGATGTTGACCCAACAGCAAGGAGGTATAACCATGTGGTCACAACATGGCCAGGCGAATGTGTGGTCAATGTCCAGGACCGAGATAGATAGTACGGGACTTTAGCCCACTCATAATCACGTTTACGTCCTCCACGAGGCGAACTCGGAGCGCCCCGGTCAAAAGGTCAGAGAACTGCTACCTCCTAAGTGCAGAGGTGGTAAGCAGAGACAGCAGACAGACGATGGCTTGAGACAGGCAACCATCACAGGCAGCACACAGTTAAAAGGTCGATAACAGAACAGTAAATCACCAACATTGGAAGGTCTACACAGTGACACACTCAAATAAACAAATAAAAGACAGTGTATAGACTTTTTGGTAAACCTAACTTGTAACGTATGGTGGCCCAAGAAGGGAGAACCTATTTAAGACTGGTCATCTACTGAACAAACACACTATCATCCTCAGATATTAATGCTGTATTGGGAAGCAATGGTAAGGAGATATTTAATTGCGAGATAACTTCACAGGAAATGGTTTTACATGCATTTTGTTTCTGAATATATTCCAAGGCTGTTTGAATAGCCTTGGCTTCAGCAGTAAATATAAAGTTCCTGTTTTATATCACCACGGGAACAATGAATAAACTGTTGACAAGTATAACATCACAGTGGATTGGGGACATACACCTCCACTCTGATGTTAACATTTCCAGCTTTACTACGACGGGGAATTGTCATAGGTCACAAACTTAAGAGATAGATCGTTTTGTCATTTCCATGAACACCCTTCTTTTTGTAAAAGGTTTTACAGATGTCACTGCTTGATCCTTCAGCTATACCAAAAAGTCTTGTTCGGATATGGCGGAAAGCACCGGCCGATGTCTGTCACGAACAATGCCCCAACTGGAGTTGAGTGTCTTATGTGCTGAAACAGCAACCTCAACATTAGCAAACTTACTGATAGACAAGAGATAAAGAGATAAATTGCTGTTTCTTCACACACTCCACAAGAATGGAGCCACAACAGAGATAAGCTACATTTTTCACTTCTCCACAATGCCCATTAACAGCTTTTGAAATCTCAAATGGATTTAATTTTACATGTTGTTTGTCAGCAGCCTCGATCACCAGGAATTGAACCTATGAATCGTAGTTGGAAATGTTTTCAGAACAATTATTTTCATGGTGACACTTTTTGTCGTTATGCATTGAACAAGATTGTTGAATTTCCACCCATCATCGATCGTTGATAAGGACAGTTTGAAGAGCATCGGATTTCCATTAGGCAAATACCAGGGTTACAGGAATGTTATACTCTAGCAAATATTACTTGAAGAGCTATATTTGTCCACCCGATGTATTGACAGGTTGGCATGCATTGTTCATGCAGTCAAAGTAGATTATGTGACCACGCTTCAACGTTTAATTGACTGGGAAACTGCCTATTTCGTAAACAAAGAAACGAGATAATTATATACTCCTCAACTCAGCACAAGAAACACAGAACGTTAGTATGGGAATTGACACGCATTTACTGCACATCTGAATATTTGATGAGTGATGACACAATGACACGTGGCAGTGACGGCACCGGATATTACAAACATGGCGATTTGGAGGATCACGGGTGGACCTGTATTTTTTTCGTTTTAAAGGGATGTTGCTGTTGCATGTGTTGTTTTTATCTTGAATTTTTCTGTTAAACGATGACATTAGTATGGATCTTAATGCGAATGTAGGATATCATCACAACCGTAAGAGTCGGCCTGTTACCTTTCACTTGCACCAGTGTATCACCACCAAACCTGTCAACCTTCGTATTCCGTTGGTACCTACGGTTTCACAGTAAAGTTGGTACATTCTAGCTTCGTCATCAGATTGATGCTTGACTCGTTGCTGTTCAAGCAGTTGTCCTCACAGGACGAACTTGCTACCTAGTAATTATCCATCATTTTTCATGTTAATGCCATCTGCGTCATAGTTTCAATGTTGAGGTGAACAGTAGAGGTTGCAATTGGTGTTGTGGTCGGATGTCTCTCAGTAATGAGGATAGTCGATAATAGTTTATATATGTCAAGGGACAAGTTGACATTTTTCCGACAAAATCTTTTTCTGTCTGCATGTTTATACTTGTACAAAATTATATATGTATAGATAGCTACATTTTGTTTAGCATTCATCCAGCGTGCATCACCGTTTGAAGTACAAACATGAAAAGGGCTCGTTGACTGATTTCTTCATTCGGTTTTTGGTTAATGCTACACTCCTAAATAAATAGTCAAGCAGCCTGCAAATGAACGAGGCTAGACCAGACACGCCAGTGATTGATATTATGAGCAATGATCCACGCCCTCAATAAGTCGCAAATAAACAAGATCGCCAAGCTTGAGCCGTCGATCCAGTAAATCGCCTCTCATGACAAGCATACGTTGTTGAATAGCATTTTAAAAAAAGACTGACAAATATGAAATAAGTGAGTGAGTGAGTGAGTGAGTGAGTGAGTGAGTTAAAATTGTAAGTCACATCGGCAATATTTCAGCCATATCGTGACTATCAATAGTTATATATATAATACATATAATGAAACTTATATAAAACACCTGCCAACGAGGGACAGTCAAATAACTAGACTTATCACAGAAGTAAATGTAAAATTAGTATGTAATCATAAAATCAATAACACTGTACATAACATTACATTATAAAAACGGGCTATAGATCGCCAGCAACTGAAGGTAGACCGCCATACTGGAGACCATGGGGACTTACAGTACATTTCATACCTGCATGTATCCCAGCAGGATTTACATCATCCCTTCAGCAACTGGCGATTGTACGCAAAGTTAGCCACAAGTAAAAATACAAAAAATCTACGTTTAAAAGAGTAGTAGGCAGAAAAAGTCTTTGAATGACATGGACTTACGATAGCCTCTCAGGGGAACAATAATTTTACACTACGTCTACCCCCTTTGAGGATACGGCCAGTAACAAACTAATATAATTTCATTCTACCAATTTTAAAAAGTCATTCATTTTATACAATACATATTATCAAAATTTATGGAACAATTCTATCTCTTTTAAAAACCCAATAACTAAATGAGAATTAATATTATAAAAAAGATCCTTGAGAGATGATGATTTGAAATATTTATCCCTTGTGATGGCAAAATCAATACAGTCAAGCAGGACATGCTTGACCGTGATTCTCTCATCACAAGGGATACAAAATGGATGAAATAAGTAACTAAGGGAAATGAAATCATTGCATCTTTATAGCAACATGTGAGTGTGCGTGCGTGCGTGCATGCATGTGTGTGCGTGTGTGTTTGTCTGTGTGTGTGTGTGTGTGTGTGTGTGTGTGTGTGTGTGTGTGTGTGTGTGTGTGTGTGTGTGTGTGTGTGTGTGTGTGTGTGTGTGTGTGTGTGTGTGTGTGTGTGTGTGTGTGTGCTTGTACTAGGCCGGACTAATGCCATTTTTATCATGCCGCAGTTTAACATGAATAACTCCGAGCAGTCCAGCCCTTAATTCCGAGCGAAAGGCAGAGTAAAACCTAATCTCTTTCAATGCCTTTTAACGAACCCACGACCTTTCACTCTCCGGGCAGATGCTCTATCCACTACACCACGTTAATGGTCAATAAGTAACTATATCTATGTAATACTACCATTTGTATGACTATGTATGTAGTATTCTTTTCCAGTTACTTCACAAGAGATCAACTTTCAGTGGACAAAATTATACTAAAACCTCATAATGGTTTCACGCATCCATATTTAGTGTCAGCATATTTTAGTCAATTGAGAAAACGGTTTAGCAGTTTGCATGACACGTAAAAAAATGCACGATATATACTATGACACTTGACCTTGAGCATCTATGCCATTCAACATTAGCAAATTGGGGCTTTATATGCTGGATGTGAAAAGAAAACTGCTTTGCAACATCGGCAATGGCACTGATATGCCAATTTTAATTCACTAACAGTTTCATTTTGATATTTAACTTTTCATATTTAATTTATTTGAAGTTTACACGATATACGACTTTTCCATTGGACGAGAGGTCGGTCACATGACCGCGAAATTGACGTTCATAAGTGTATGAACGACACAATTTGACGTTCATACGTTTTTCACGAGACCGTGTTCTTGAAATGACGTAAACACTGACGGATTTCTTCCACATTCCCGGGGAAACCCTTTGGAATTTCCTAGCACGAAAACATACATAAGCATTCTTTCTGATCATTTAGAACCTTTATTCTTGG